GTGTTTTTATTTTGTGGTTCAGAGGGATATAAAATGAGGTGGTTGGGTGGAAAGCGTGGAGTGAGATTAGTTGATTATTTTTAAATGGTTTAGTTACGTGTTAAAAGGAGCGAGCAGCTAGTTAAATGGCCCCGTGTACAATACATAGGCATGGACATAATTCAGTTACATACATATTAATAAACATGTGTACAATACACGGGCAGTACCTGTGACACATACCATTAATATGGCCGGAGAGAACGAGAGAGAGCGAGGGAGCGAGAGTGAGAGCAAGAGCAGGTATGTAGGTATACACGCACGCACGCACGCACGCACGCGCGCGCACACACACACACACACACACACACACACACACACACACACACACACACACACACACACACACACACACACACACACACACACACACACACAGATATGTATATATATTTACATATATAATATAACATAACACAAAGACCCCTCCCCGTATAAGGAACAAGGGAAAAAAAAGAAAAAGAAAAAAGTTTACCAACCACACAACTTTCCCAGGATAACCAAAGAGTGTGAAGAAGGACCCCTCCCCCGACGCCCGTACAGCCTCCTCCTCCTGGCCAGCTCCCTCCTGCCCAGCCCTCTCCTGCCCAGCCTCCTCCTGCCCAGCCTCCTCCTGCCCAGCCTCCTCCTGCCCAGCCTCCTCCTGCCCAGCCTCCTCCTGCCCAGCCTCCTCCTGCCCAGCCCTCGCGATGCCCTTCCTGAAGCTGGACCTGCACAACCACATCCTGCCGGAGTCGTGGCCGAACCTGAAGGAGCGGTATGGGTACGGAGGATTCATTCAACTCGATCATGAGTCCTGTGCCATTCCCGGTGAGCTGCGGTGGATTTTTATTATTATTATTATTATTGTCATTATTATCATTATTAGTATTGTTGTTGTTATTTTGGTTTCTTTTCTTTCTGTTCTTGTTCTTTTTGTTCTGTTTTTTTTCATAATTTTTCTTTTCTCTTTTCTTTTTTTTCTTTTTTTTCTCCTTCTTCCTCTTCTTTTTTCTCCTCCTCCTCCTCCTCCTCCTCCTCCTCCTCCTCCTCCTCCTCCTCTTCCTCCTCCTCCTCCTCCTCCTCCTCCTCCTCCTCCTCCTCTCCCTCCACCCTCCACCCTCCACCCTCCTCCCTCCTCGTGATATTTATCTTCCTTTTCTGTATCCTGAACATGATCATGATGATGATCATCGATGTTGTTATTATTTTCTCTGTTATGTTATTACTGTTTTCATCATCACCATCATATCGCCATCACCATCACATCATTATCATCATCACCATCACCAGCAGCACATCCGCGCCATCACCATCATTATCACCATCACCAACAGCACACATCCGCGCCATCACCATCATCAATCACCATCACCAACAGCACACATCCTCGCCATCACCATCATCACCATCACCAACAGCACACATCCTCGCCATCATCATCACCATCACCATCATTATCACCATCAACAGCACACATCCTCGCCATCACCATCATCATCACCAACAGCACACATCCTCGCCATCACCATCATCACCATCATTATCACCATCACCAACAGCACACATCCGCGCCATCACCATCATCACCATCATTATCACCATCACCAACAGCACACATCCGCGCCATCACCATCATCACCATCATTATCACCATCACCAACAGCACACATCCTCGCCATCACCATCATCATCACCATCACCAACAGCACACATCATCGCCATCACCATCATCATCACCATCACCAACAGCACACATCCTCGCCATCACCATCATCATCACCATCACCAACAGCACACATCATCGCCATCACCATCATCATCACCATCACCAACAGCACACATCCTCGCCATCACCATCATCATCACCATCACCAACAGCACACATCCTCGCCATCACCATCATCATCACCATCACCAACAGCACACATCCTCGCCATCACCATCATCATCACCATCACCAACAGCACACATCCTCGCCATCACCATCATCATCACCATCACCAACAGCACACATCCTCGCCATCACCATCATCACCATCACCAACAACACACATCCTCGCCATCACCATCATCATCACCAACAGCACACATCCTCGCCATCATCACTTCACCATCACCTCATTATCACCATCATCTCCGGTTTCTTACGCTTCTGTTAATTAATCTGACAGTCATTTCGTATTCAAAGCGTCGTCTCGCAAGTCAGAAGCTGCGTTAGTCTCTTGTTTTTGTTAAATTAGCATGTGTTGACGCGCAGCCAAAATGATTTTTAAAAATGTTATGAATATCAATTCCATAATGTGAAAGTTTATTTATGATTGATACTTTTTTTCAGTCACGATGTTTTCTTTCATTAGCAATAGTAGCTGTCATCACTTATCAGTCGTCCTTCTCCTCCACCATCATCATCATCATCACCATCATCACCATCATCATCATCACCATCATCATCACCATCATCACCAACGCCATCACCATC